ACCCACACCCACCTGGGAGACCTGGAAGAAGTTCCAGGCTCCTGGCTTTGGATCGGTGCAACTCCGACAATTGCGGCCAACTGGGGAGTGAACCATCGGATGGAAGACCTCTCTCCTCTACCTTTCCTCTCTCTGTGTAACTCTGAATTTCAAATAAAATAAATAAATCTTAAAAAAAATAAGACCAGACTGTAAATATTTTATGCTTTATGAGCCATATGCTCTCTGTTGCAAGTATTCAACTGCCATGGAAAACATGAGAGCAGCCAAAGGAAAATGTAAATAAATGGATATGGTTGTGTGCCAATAAAATTTGTTTGCTAAAAGAAGCAGCTGCCAAATTTGACTTGAGGGCTGCAGTTTGCCCATCCCTTTCCTGATAGAGAGGCAAATTCCCCTACGAAAAAGGTACCAAGCCAGGCCGGCACCGCGGCTCACTAGGTTAATCCTCCGCCTTGCAGCGCTGGCACACCGGGTTCTAGTCCCGGTCGGGGCGCCGGATTCTGTCCCGGTTGCCCCTCTTGCAGGCCAGCTCTCTGCTCTGGCCAGGGAATGCAGTGGAGGATGGCCCAAGTCCTTGGGCCCTGCACCCCATGGGAGACCAGAAGTACCTGGCTCCTGCCATCGGATCAGCGCAGTGCGCCGGCCGCAGCGTGCCGGCCGTGGCGGCCATTGGAGGGTGAACCAACAGCAAAGGAAGACCTTTCTCTCTGTCTCTCTCTCTCTCACTGTCCATTCTGCATGTCAAAAATAAAAAAAATTTTTAAAAAAGTCTACAAAAAAAAAAAAAGGTACCAAGCTGCTTAAGTGATTAGCTCATTATGTAATGGTTTAAATTCTTTCCTCTTTCTGTGGATTACTTAATGTTTCTTAATGTTTACGTGTCTGTGTCTCCTTTCTGTTTTCTGTGTCTCCCTTCACTGACTCTGAGGTCTTGGTGGTGTTCTACTGAATGTTTAGCAAGTGCTTCTCCCAAATACCTAGATGGGTGGTTTGCCCACTCAGGAGAGCTGCGGTATAAATGCTCTTACCATGGCCAACTTCACGTCATCAACATGAACATGGCATAGGGATGGTGTACAGTTGATGCTGGCTCTAGCACATCACCAAGTAGACAGATCAGTTTACATTAGTTTGGAATGAGAAGAAACATAGAAATTTAGAATAGTGCTCTCAATAAGTTAAATGTGTTGTTACCTAATAGGCCAGAATGGTAGAGGGGGAGGCTCCAAAATCAATCAATTCAGCAGCTCAGTGACATCATTAAGGTTCCAGAGTGTTTGCATTGTTCTGTTTTACTGGCCTTGGCTCACGGACTGACCTTAGGCTGGTTTCCTTCATGTTGAAGAGGTGACTTCTCTATTTGCAGATGTCATATCCAGATCAAAATTTCTCCCGGGAAAAGAAGGTCTTGTTTCTTTCCTGTGTCTTTTCTGAAGAGAGAGGAAGCAGTTCTCAGATGCTGTCTCATTCTTTGTCACTCACCGACTGGGAAGGGAGACACAATCAAAGCTCATTCTGTGCAGCACTGGATTGGGCACCCTCCCTGAAGCCTAAAGCCCCTGGCAAGAGAGCAGGCAGGATACATCCCTGAATAAAACCAGGTTGCACTAGGGTTAGGGTAGAATAGAGGAAGGGATGAATTATGAATTTTGAGTGGGCAACTGGTTCAGTTTTCTTGCTACAATAGACTGTGTTTAGGAAAGCAAAAAGACGAGTATGGTAGATCTTTTAAGTAAGAGCTTTTCTTTGAGTGTTTTTTTTTTTTGGGGGGGGGGTACTTGATAGTTAATTCTACTTATCCATGACACAAAGTGTATTTTGGAAGAACTGATCCTGAAGCTCCAGACTGTTGGCTACTCCTTTGTAAGGTGAGTTTTGCACTGAATCAGAGATAATTCCATGATGTGTGAAACCAGTGACTCACAAACGTATTTTAGAGAAATGTCAATGATATCATTTAAGAACTGCATTTATGGCTTCATCAGCCTGCAATTCACATCATCCTACTTGTGCGCCATCAGTAAGAATTATATATGTATGATTAGATGAAAGTGTTTATGAGTTTATATTATAGAGTAAGGACATGTAGTAGAAGCAATGCAGGGTGTTGATTAGGAAAAATAGACTTCCAGTCAGATCAAGGCTCATATCCCATTTTTCCTGCTTAATTATATTAATAATTGGACAAGTTACTTAATATCACCAGTCTGCATTTTTGTATCTATAAAATCAGGATAATAATACCTACTTTCTGTGCTTGTTAGGATTAAATGAGATATTTTCTGTACTACTGCTTAATGGCACTATGCCAAGTACTCGGTGAAGGTAGCTCTATATTGTTGTTTGTCCCTAGCACTACTGTTTTGTTTATTATTCAATCCCTATGCCGGTCATTAGCAATATGATCATTTTCAATAATAATTTTTATTTTTTCTACAGTAGGTTTGGTATTTAGGTTTAGCATTGATGCCAGTATCTATTTTCAATATTTTCTATGAATGTATTCCTACATTCACAGGATGGCTGATAAGATGAAAAGGGAGGTTGAAGGCTTCAAAATGAGAAAACCTAAGTATTGCATGTGGGGTCACTCTTGTTGCCTTGGTGAAACTGCTTTTGCTCTCTGAACTTACAGGCTGCTGGTTTGTTCCAGTGGCTTCAAGGATGCATACTTACAAAATTATGTTATGAGCCACTTTTTTGAGAAAGCTATAGTCTTAAAGTAAATTTTTTATTAGGTAAGTTTGTTTGCCCAGTGGTCCATGTTCACCTAATCATGCATACTTTGTCATATTTGAAATGATGTTTCATTTAATTAAGATTTCTTTTAGTGATCATAAGAAAATTTTATCAACAACTGGGTGATGTGCTTAATCCAGGAGAAAAAAAAAATCTGTCAAAATTCTTATTTTACCTCTTAAGACAATTCATCTTCTGCTCTAATTAAGACAGCCATTTGGCACACCAAAGAATACTGTAAAAAACACCTCACTCCACAGTTGTTGTGGGACCAAAATCCAGGCATAGCTCGGTGAGGTCCTTGGCTTGAGGGTCTCACAGAGCTGCGATCCAGGTGTCAGCCAGCCTTTTCAACTGGAGCTTCAACTAGGGAACAGTGAGCTTCCAAGCTCACTTGGGATGGGGAGCAGGCAGGAAGTAAACAAGGACATCCCTGAGAATGTCAGTGTTTTTGCTGGCAGCTGGAGCCTGCTCTGAGCTCCTACAGGCTACTCACAGTTCCTGCCAAGCAGACCTCACAGTGTGCAACATGGCAGCTGTCTTCCTCAGGCCGGTGGGAGGACTGGAGTGACCTGGCCAGCCAGATGGAGTCTCACATTATATGACACAATCACAGGAGTCATAGGCCCTCACCTAGGCCATATTCTGTAGGTTAGAAATAAATCACAGGTCCCACCAACACCCAAGGAGACAAATCACATAAAGATGTGAACAACAGGAGCTGGGACCATAAAAATATCTTAAAGTCTACTTATCACTAAATGTATAAGGCTGTAAAACAGTGCATAACACATAGAAGTTTAGTATTTGTACTTCATGAATTAATGTTGCAGATATTACTTCTCTGAACTATGTCTTGCTAATTTTTTAAGCCTATGGTTTACCCATTGTTTTTGTCTATTAATTACAGGCATTAGTGTACATATAATTAATGTTAAGCTAAATTCAATGGTAAATTTTAATTTAGAAAAATCAACAAATGTTTGTCTTGATTTGTTTTATTATTTTACATCTTAGGGAGCCTTCCTTGTAAGATTGGTAAATATTTGCCTATATTTTCAATTAGATTTTTAATTCCCCCCCTTTACCTCTGGAACTTAAGAGTTAAATGGAGAGTTCTCCATTGATCTTTACTATCTTATTTAGATTATGTTGAAATATCATGAACATACTAGCTTCTGGGCTCTCTATTCTGCTTAATTTATTTGTTCTTTTTTCAATTACACACTTAAAAATTATAGCACTCATGGGTCAGGAATTTATAGTCCAATGATTAAGATGCCAGTTAAGATACCTGTGTTCCAATTCTGGCTTCTGCCTAAAGGAGACACTCTGGGTAACAGGTCATGGCTTAGTTGATTGGTTTCCTACCACCCATGTAGAGACCTGGATTGAGTTCCTGGTCCATGGTTTTGTCTGGCTCAGCTCTGGATGCTGTGGGCATTTGGAGAGTGAACCAGATGATGGGATCCCTCTCTGTCTCTCTATTTCTCTACCTCTCAAATAATAAAAAAATTTCAATTAGAGCCTTCTTAGAAGTACCGAAGAATATTCTGTCAGATTCATTCAATAAAATGATTAGGATATATTCTGAGTAGCTGGAAGAGTGAGACTCCAAAGCATAGAGGCCCAAACCAGATCAAAGCTCGTGTGTCTTTTGTGCAATACTGTAGAGATGTGCAAAGTCTAGAGGTGGAGGGGCAGCTCTCACAGAGGCTGCTGGAGGACTCAGATTGCTTCTGCCTTGTAGCTCTGCCAGCCTCTAGGGTGATGATGTGGTCTGTGAGGTTGATGAAGTCTCAGCTCCACTTCCTTGTTCTAGTCTGTTGGAAAGCGGGTGCTGGGAGTCCCAGGCAGGCACTATTGCCTTGGAGTTGATGGAACAGAAGTGGCACTTGGGACTTCCGTTTAGTCCCTTCCATCTAGACAGTGTTATCACACCCATCTTCAAGAGAAGCTAGGGTAAAGGGCAACAAACTGGGGGGTCATGGATTTGTCTGAAATTTGAGAGGTTCAATTATTGAAATAGAGCAGGGATATGGGTACCAAGGGCATCAAGTTGTCTGCCCTGGTTCAATATTCATAGTTATAAATAATCATATTTAATAGAATAAATAATATTTAATAGGATAAAATCATATAGTAGTTATAAATAATCATATTTTATAGGAAGGTGATAATTCTTTTTACCAAGTGAAAAAAGATCTATCTTTGTGCATGGTAATAAAGTACAATTATGTCCTGGTTTTTGGTTTTAGATGGCTAGTAACCCATGTGCAAGGTAGCATTCTACACCAACCTTGAATGCCAACAGGAAGTCACTGGGCAGCAAATTCTTCCAAGGTCATATCTTGGCTGTTGGAGTTACTTGGAAGAGAAGAAAAAGGACTGACACCATGACAAAAGTAAAAAGAGCTCGGTCTACTTCCCCTCCAGATGGAGGCTGGGGCTGGATGATTGTGGCTGGTTGTTTCCTTGTTACCATCTGCACCCGGGCAGTCACTAGGTAGGTGGGATTTTCTTTTCTATTTTTTAGATGACCTGGTTTGTCGTCGTCATCTTTTTTTAAATTTCTAAATATGTTTCAATTTCAGAACCTTCATTGGGAAACTGTGTGTGTGTGATTTGTGTGTGTTGTGTGTTTATTTCTTTGCTCAGATATCTTTTTCTTTGCACAGAATGTGGTTTTCTAGTACTCAGAAGCCTTGAAGTATGGTCTCTTCTGTAAAATCTGATATTTAACACTGGAGAGTTAGAACATTGTTAGATGAAATGCCACGGCTATTCCAGCCATTTGTTTTCATAAGCAGCCCCTGAAGATGTGGATGTATGAGTAATATTTCTTTTCTCCCTCCATCTTGCATCCAAAATGAATATGAAATATTTTAAGCCCTCACATATGAAATAATATGGTAAGTGCCCTGATCATTAAACTAAGGAAGGGTTCCATGCTCTTCTCATAATGAAGTCACTTTTCTAGAGATTTTAATGGATTGCTAAACACCTACCCAAGAAGGTAAGTTAGCATAAGCTGGCAAGGTTCCAGTGATGAGCAACATAATTTATAAATCATCTTAATGATAAATATTCTTCTTCTTCTTTTTTTTTTTTTTTTTGACAGACAGAGTGGACAGTGAGAGAGAGAGAGAGACAAAGAGAAAGGTCTTCCTTTGCCATTGGTTCACCCTCCAATGGCCGCCGCGGCCGGTGCACCGCGCTGATCTGAAGCCAGGAGCCAGGTACTTATCCTGGTCTCCCGTGCGGGTGCAGGGCCCAAGCATTTGGGCCATCCTCCACTGCACTCCCTGGCCACAGCAGAGAGCTGGCCTGGAAGAGGGGCAACCGGGACAGAACCTGGCACCCCGACTGGGACTAGAACCCGGTGTGCCGGCGCCCCAAGGCGGAGGATTAGCCTAGTGAGCCACGGCGCCAGCCAATGATAAATCTTAATCATTAAAATTTTACAGGACAGAGAGCTATTTGGATGTGCGATTCATAACACATAAATCAAAAAAGCTATGGGCAAACTTATGGCAAGAGATCATAATGGTTGATCATGCGGCTTTAAGTCTAGGAATGAGGAATAAAGAGTGCCAAGTGAAAAAAAAAACATAGGATTTGTAGCGGATTTGTGAGCCTACATGTACATGGAATTAATTGTCTGTATTTATTCAAGAAAAACGTGTGAGGTCAAAATCATCCTTGAAAACTCTTTGGTTTGCCAGGCACAGAACATTTGGAGACTTAAAAATTGAATCTAGAATTTAAATTCTTTTGCTTCATTCAGTATTTTGGCTGTGATGGTGGAGGCCGAGTTCTACATTGAAGGCTAGCAATACATAAATACAAGGATCCTTTAAAAAGTTCATGGAAAATAAGTTTATTATGGTACAAAAAATTGAATATGCATATGAGGGACCTTCAGAAAAGTCAAGAAAATGTGTATTATGAAAAATTATGCATAAATTTCAAAAAATTTTTGAACCAAAAATATCTTTTAATTTTGTTTTCCATGAACTTTTTGAAGTACCCTCATACAGGGATTCTCTCGTTCTCTCTGCTCACTTCTCCCTCTCTCTTTTCTCCCAAGGGCGTAGTCTTGAATGTGCTTAAGTTAGATGTATATACATTGTGACTCATGAGTTGCATTCCTGTTTGGTATAAATACATATTTGAAATCTGCATTTGCTAGCTCTTTCCCTACAGTTGCTTCTATTAGAATAGAACTCTTTGTTTCTCTTCTCTGGCAGTACAAGATACTAATTTGCACTAATAACTTTGGTGGCATCATTAATGTTTTGATGCCACTTTCTCCTAAAATGGATAAAAAGCAGGATAGAAACAATAAGGGTTTGTTGATAATTGCCATCATATGCATTTTTTAAGGTAACATGATAAGGTTGAGTCTGAGTTTTCTCCTATCCATATTAATGATCCTTATGTTCTGGGTGTGAAGAGACCATGGAGCTAAAAGTAATCAGTTCCATCTTGGTTTTTGCATGGGAAGTGTCCATCATTCACATGGGGGGAAGTGGGCTCAATGAGTTATAAGAAGGAATCATACTGGACTCTTCCAGATATTGAATCTTCAGGATGAAGTTGCACTCCTGTGGAGTTGTTCATGGTTCTTCTAGTTGAGATTCCAAAATACTGTTCCTAATTGCATTGTCTCATGAGAGCCTTGTGATTTAGGCAGTCTAGGCACATCCACCCCATTTAGTAGATTAGTATACTGATACTCAGAAAAGGTAAGGGATTTGCCTATATCTTTGGCTGGTAGAACAGAGCTGGCATGCTAGTCTTTTTGTTTCACATTCATTCATAATCCATTGATTCTTGCAACACGCACACCCACCCACCCACACACACACACACCCACTACAGCTTACGCTCTGGAATAACTGTAACATTATGAGGCACATTTTTTTCCAAAATCACCCTGCTTATAGGAAGCATTGTATTAATACAACTACCCTGTAATATCCATCTTTTTACCATGTCAGTGAGGGGAAGTCAAAGTATTAGGGGACAGTTGACTCCAAACTCATCTTAGAGGCTCCCTGTCTTCTCCTTCCTGTTGGTGATGGACTATGAGTGATTTTACTCCCAATTTATGTACAAAAAATTGCATATGAAGCCTGGGGGAGTTTTTTTGAATGTCATCCTCTGGAATTATGGAAATAATCAGGGGCAGGGGTCCATAGATAACTGAGAAGTCACATCAAAGACACTAATTTACTCATGGTCTCTCAGGCTCATCAGTGTTATATGTGCTTTGTTTTATTTAGCAGAATAGTGAACTCCAATTTTCTCTAAATAACAGTGAGATGGTCAACAGATCTCATGAAGCCACCAAGGGTGGAAATGCTTGCATCTTTTTTTAGGTTGTACCTTCATATCCTTCATATTTTCAACTGCAATTCCACTGTAATCCATTCCACTAATGTGTACATGGTAGTCATGGAGGAGCAGGCTCTGTGCTAGGTGCTTCCAGTGCACTAAGATATCAGGACACCATCTAGTACACTCAGCCATAAATAACTGAAATACAGAACAAAGTGTGTAAGTGTAACATAGGTTAAAAAAAAAAAGAATTTAAAGTAACACCGAGAGAGGAACTAATACTGACCTGGAAGTGCAGAGCAGGCTTTCTGGAAAAGTTGTCCCTGGAGTGAGTTCTTAAAGAATGGGAATCATTTGGTCAGGGAGAAATGAAAGAGAAAGATGCTTCAAACAGTGTCAAAGCAATGAGCCTTGGCTGGTACTTGCTTGGTGGTGATGGTGGCAGGCTCCGTTCCTGGATTGCCAAGGGCTTACCCAGAAATCAGAAAAGGGTTGGGCTGGCAAAAAAGGCCTACTCTCAGGGGCTACTGAAGATGCTAAAAGGAGGCAACCTGAGCAGAGTGAGTTTAGAGGAGAAAGGTGTGATGATGTGGCCAGCACTGAAATCCAAGCGTCGCAGACCAGGGAGTAGCCAAGAGAACTGGAAATAGGAACAAGGAGAGCAGCCCTGGGTGATTTTTTTCAGTTCTCACAATCAGTCCCTGTTGGGCAATTAACCTTTTTCTGCTTTTTTAAAGTTAAACCATACATTCATGCCATAAGAATTCAAACAATATACAAACATATAAAATACAAAAATTTTTCTCCTCATTCTCCTGGAGTCTACCTTCATTGCTCAATGTGAACTTTATCGGGCTGGCGCCATCCTCCACCTGCGGCGCCAGCATCCCATATGGGCGCCAGGTTCTAGTCCCGATTGCTTGGTTGCTTCTCTTCCAGTCCAGCTCTCTGCTGTGCCCCCGGAGGGCAGTGGAGGATGGCCCAGGTGCTTGGGCCCCTGCACCCACATGGGAGACCAGGAAGAAGCACCTGGCTCCTGGCTTCGGATCAGCGCAGTGCCGGCTGTAGCGGCCATTAGGGGAGTGAACCAATGGAAGGAAGACCTTTCTTTCTGTCTCTCTCTCACAGTCTATAACTCTACCCGTCAAATAAAAAAAAAAAAGTGAACTTTTATCAATAGTTTCTTGACATCAATAAATTTAAAAAAATTTTAAAAGTTTAAAAAAATTAAAAAACCTAATATTAACATATAAATGCATTATATGTTATATTACAGTACATTATAAATCAATTATTTTTATTTATATCAATAGGATCATACTACCACACTCTTTTCGCTTAATGTTTTTTTGAAACTCTTTCCATATTAACACATATATCCGTACCTTACTGAAAAATATGAGGAGACTTCAAAAGGCTCATGGAAAAATGAAATTAAGATAAGTTTGGGTGGGTGTTTGGCCTAGACATTAACACACTGGTTAAGACACCTGTGTCCCACATCCTGGCTCCCGATTATAGCTTCCTGCAGGCTCTGGGAAGCAGTGGTGATGGCTCAGATAATTGGGTTCCTGCCACCCACACAGAAATTTGGATTGAGTTCCTGGCTCATTGTTCTGGCTGGCCAGCCCTGGCTGTTGCAGTCATTTAGGTGAGCCAGCAGATGTGAACTCTCTTTGTCTGGCTGTTTTTTGTCTCTCTGCCTCTTGAATTTTTTTTTAAACTTATTTTGGTGGAAAAATTTTTTGAAATCTATACAAAGTTTTTAAATTCCATTCTCCACAGACTTTTTATAGTACCCTTATAGTTGCTTAAAATTCTACCATATGGCTGTGTCCGTAGTTATTTAACACATTCTGACTAATGGGCATTGTATTTTTTTTCCTGATTTTTGTTGTTACTGACAATGTTAAACTATGACCTATGGCATTTTCTTTTAAAGATTTACTTATTATTTGAAAGGCAGTGTTACAGAGAGGCAGAGGCAGAGGCAGAGAGAGAGAGAGAGAGAGAGAGGTCTTCCATTCACTGGTTCACTCCTCAGATGTCTGCAGTGGCCAAGTTGCGCCAATCTGAAGCCAGGAGCCAGGTGCTTCTTCCGGCTCTCCCACGAAGGTACAGGGGCCCAAGGACTTGGGCCATCTTCTACTGCTTTCCCAAGCC